ATAGCTTTGTAGTATAGTTTGAAATCAGAGACTGATACCTCCAGCTTTGTTTTTTTTTCCTTGAGATTGCTTTGGCTATTTGGGACTTTTTGTGTGTGTGTGTGTGTGTGTGTGTGTGTGTGTGTGTGTGTGGTTGCATAAAATTTTAGGACAGGAAATTTTTGTTTGGGCATATTAATAACTTTATCTTAATAAAGTTTCAAAAATAAAGTTCCAGAAAAAAGCTATTTTCTTTCTAAAAGTCTGGGCCATGGCTAGATAAAGGGCATGTTCATTCTGAAGGGTGAAGAGAGCCTCATGATCTAATAGTCACTGGAATAACCAACTAGTATTGAGTGGTGGTCAGCTGCCACGAGACAGCTGCTCAGAAGAACCGTAAGGTAAATTAAAGCAAAGAGCTCAAACAGCCGGTCTAATTGGCCTGGTTCTTCATATAGAGTGGGTCTGTTTTGGGGGATTTAAAAATCCTTGTTTGCACCCTGGCTGCTACGGCTCAGCTGGTTGGAGCCATGACCTGTTAGCCAGAGGGTGACAGGCTCTATTCCTGGTCAGGGCAAAATCCCAGGAGGTGAGTTTGATGCCCAGGAAGTGCGTACAGAAAGCAACCAATCACGCCAATGTTACTCTCTCTTCCTTCCTCTCTAAAATCGATTAAAAAAAAAATCTTTGTGGATATGATTAGAAATAACAATTTTAATACAACTGTTTCTGCTAAGTCTGGTTTTTAAATCCCTCAAATTTAGAATATATAGCTTTTTAAAAGTGTATAGAATTAAGTCCATCACATCAACATTATACCTTGGATGGATTTTTTTCATAAGCACCGATATCTCCAACAGATTTTATTCATTGAACAAGCATTTATTAAACACAAATATTTGCCTCTGTCCACTTTTTTTTATAGGTGCAGTATCATAATCTTTGGGAAATTTATGGAAATGACATTTAATAGCCAGAAACTAACTTTATGTAGGTTTTTTTTTCTAGTTATGTTATTCTGCCAACTAAGAGATCATCTACAATTTAGATCTCTTAAATTAAATTGCTTAGTGTAACTCTGTGTTTTTTTTGTTTTGTTTTTAAAATATTCTTATTGATTTCATAGAGAAAGGGAGAGGGAGAGAGAGATAGAAACATCAATGATGAGAGAATCATTGATTGGCTGCCTCCAGCAAACCCCCCTACTGGGGACTGAACCCACAACCCAGGCATATGCCCTTGACCAGAATCAAAGCCGGGACCCTTCAGTCCACAGGCTGTCGCTCTGTCCACTAAGCCAAACCAGCTAGGACAGGGCATTCTTAATTAGGATAGAGTATCAACTACCTTTTTTTCCTTTATTTTTGTTAATCCTCACCCAAGGATTTTTTTTTTTTTTATTGCCAACTACACTTTATAAAACTCTCTCCCTATCTGCAGTTGGAATATTGGCTCTTCTGTAAACATCCACAGTAAATGGGTATGTTTTTGACTTACATGTAGTGTGCCTATTTTTAGTGTTAGATGCACAAATTGAATTTAGATGAAAATACAGAAAGGTCTCCGAAGGAATACCGTAGGCAGGTCCATCACACTGAACAAATCCAGTTATGAAACATAGTCAAAGAGGAATGCCCACTGGCCCTGGATTTCTGTCTAAGTTGCTCTCTGTTCCTGGGCTTTGTCAGTTGTTCCTCTGCTTAGGTGAGAACTGCAGCCAGTTCCTGTGCGTGGTTTAGGATGTCAGTTCTGCAGGTTTCTGCACTTAGATCAGGGACTGACAGGTCAGGGCTTCCTGCAGCACTTTTAAGGAATGAAAAAAAAAAAAAATAAGAGAAATAATAAACTGACAAGATTATGTTCAAGATGTTAACTTGCTGCAGGTTCTTCATATGTTGGCAGCTTATGTGGCCCATAAAACTCACTGATTCATGGCTTCTGATCGAGTGTAATCTTAATCTTAAGAATTTTTTTCATTATCCGTCTAACCTAGGAGATTGGCCGATGATAGGGAGGACATCTAGGAATGCAACTTTTAGAGATTATATAAGTGTCATAGTTATTTATTTATTTTTAGGGAAATACATGATATTTTACATGGCATAGAAAAGACAGAATGGGTTTTTTTGGAGACTATTTGAGACTACTAAAACAGTCATTATTTATACACTGGAGGCCTGATGCATGAAGATTGGTGCAAAAATGGGCCTTCCTTCCCCTGGCTTGCCTGCACCACCTTCACTCTGGCCAGAACCACCTTTCTGCCTTAGCTCCAGCCTGGAGCCGCCTTTCCACCTTCCCATGAGGCCCAGAGGCCTGAGGTAGTGCAGAACGCCTGCATTGTTGCCATGGCGACGATGCAACTGCAAGTGGCCCACCCTACCCCCTGCTGCTCAGTGACTGTATGCAAATTAGCCCATCATCTTTGTTGGATTAATTTGCATACTCCTGATTATCTGGTGGGCATCCTGAAGGTACAGTCAATTTACATCTTTTTCTTTTATTAGTTTAGATTGTCCATGTAGAACCCTCAAAGAGTTCTCAGTCTCCTGAGGTAGCTAAGTACTTGCACAAGTACAGACTTATATGATAAGTGTAACATAGATATGCAAGAAACAGACATAGTATCCAACTCTCTTCCTCTTTCCCCTTGAGCCAAGGCACATAAACATGGAAAACAATTTTAAGCACACTTTTAATTCTGATTTGTATTTTCCTAATGTGTTCAGTAATGTCAAAGTTACAGCTTTAGGAAAGAATTTGTAATGGAACAATGCATATTTTTTATAAAATAACAGCATTAAGTAACTAAAAACTTGACATTAAATTTCAGCTATTATCTTGGGTGACTCCAGGTATCACACATTTGTAGCATATCCTACATCCCCTTTAGTCCACTCCTTGTCATATCTGGTCATGATTTTTGTTGAAGAAGCCAGTATATTCTAGTCATTAGGTGCACTCTCTTATTTTTTTTTTTTGGCTCCTTGTATTTCCTGTATTCCACAAGGTGTTGTGGAGTATCTTTCATTTGTGGTTTAGCATTCTGGATCTGGAACCATGTACATTAATTATATCCATTAAATCAATGAAGTAAAACACTCAGAATTAGAGGATCTGTGAAGTTGGAGTGATATTATGTGTCTTTGTTTTTGGTGAATTCAGTATCCTTCGTGGGCTATTTGGTTTCTGGGAAGCACAAGTTCACTCTCCTGCCCTTGCAAAGTACCACTTTATGATATGAGATTTAAATGTTAAACAGTGGTGCAGTAGAGTGTTTATAATTGTTAAGTAATTTGATCCAGTCGCTTTTGTAAATATTATGGAATACATAACATTTTAAAAAATCATATGCATTATAATATGTATTCCTGCCCAGCTCTGGTCATTTCTACAGTGGGATAAAATAATAGCTCCTCTACAAGCATTGATTCTGTTCTGTGGAGTTCCCAGCTAGGACCTTGCAATTGTTGTAATGAGGCATTATTTTTTTGTTATAAATTAATGACTACATGGGATTAAAAAAAAAAAAAAACCCACTTGATTTCCGCCCCACAAATCTTCAGGGAAAGGTTGCCATCTTGTGGTTTTTAAAAAAATAAAGGATTTAAGAAAAATCTGATATGACTGCTGAGATTTTATGAATATAGTTGTTTTATGATACCAAAATAAGTAAGAAAGGAATACTATTAAATCTCTTTATATTTGCTTATCCTTTGGACAGATTTGTTCACTTTATTTTAATATTACACATTTTAAAAAATTTGTTAAATTAAAATTTTCTTTTTTAGCCCACTCAAACATTTGTAGTAGAAATAATCTCCTACAATTGCAGTTTTAATTAAGAGCATATATTGAGAATTTTTATGTTAATTTATAATTAATGATAATAGAATTATTTGAATGAAAAAATACTTTTAAGAGTTAATTACTTGACAAAATATATCCAAAGGAACCTTAATATTATAATATACAACTCTAGTTAATAAAAAGTGATATTTAAAAGAAAAACCTCAATTTAGATCTCATTTTTTGGGTAGTTAATAATGTAAACTAAAGTAATTAATTTTCCTTCAGAGATACCCTAATTTATAGTTAAGGAAGTCCTAAAAATCACCTCCCATGTAAGGAATGGAAAGTTGTAGTTGGGGTCCTTTTGTTCTTATATCAAGGGAGTTTCTATATGATACCAAGTTACAAAATTGCTTTTTATAGTAACTTTATTTTTCACTTGTTTAATCTCATTTTATATCTTGATTTATAGGTCCTTTTCATCCTTGGTTTATAATATTCATTGTATTAAAAATAACAAATATTTATTTTTTTAAAAATGTGTGAGAATCATATAGACATGCCTGCATATATGTCTCATACATGCCACCGCCCACACCACCACACCAGAGTTGGTTATTAAACATTTACCAGCATACTCTTGGATGGAATCCATACAATATTGTAACAATGAAAAGCTGAAGGGTACAGTTGGGGAACTTAGTGGTAAGACTGTAGGAAGAGAACCCAACACCACGATTGACTTTGCCTCCAGTCTGCAGGCCTCTCTGTGTGTTTGACGGCAGTGGAGTCAGAGCCCATAGCCGAAGTGATAGCCAGTAAGAATTTAGAAGAAATTCCCGTTTTTGTTTTATTTTGATTCCTCCCCCTCAGTGCATCTTTATACAAGAAGAACTGAATTGTGATTTGACTAATAGATTAAGAAATATATTTAAAAAAAAAAAAGTCTTCTTACAGAAACATGTAATTCCTTTTTATAGAACAAGGAGCACATGTGTTCTTCCTCAGAGATAACCAATGTACTATGGTCCCCATGGACTTCTGCTGGGGAAAGTACTGAAAGGGAAAGCTGTTGTCCACCCACTGCTGCAGAATTGCTTCTCTGATTTTAGCAGCTTATGGCAGCGTTTAGATAAACGGCCTCTCCCGCTTCCCCCTAAGCAGGGTGGGAGAAGGCCTCACGTCAGGGGTAGAACTTGATGTCTTGTGCTTCTTCTCTTGTCTTGCAGTTACGCTAAGAAAGAATCTGATCTTAATGGAGCCCAGATGAAGCTCCGAGAATATGAAGCAGCACTGAATTCTAAAGATGCGGCTCTGGCCACTGCACTTGGTGACAAGAAAAGTTTAGAAGTCGAATTGGAGGATCTGAAGGATCAGATTGCCCAGGTCAGTAACTGCGGCTCCTGAGCCCTATGCAGCAGGGTAATTAATTGCCTTACCTCTCTTGGTTGATTGATTTTTAAGTTTATTTTTTATTACTTTAAAAAATTTAGTTTGATTATTTTATGGCTTATCTGATGGTCTGGAGGTAGCTAATATTCAAAACACCTTCACTCTTTTTTCTCCCTCATTTTTTTATTAAGGTATTATATGTGTACATATCTTACCATTGCCCTCTCACACCACTCCCATACATGCCCTCACCCCCCAGAGTTTTGCGTCCATTGGTTATGCTTATATGCATGCATACAAGTCCTTTGGTTGATCTCTTATCTCCCCCACCTCTCCCTAACCTTCCCGCTGTAATTTCACATTCCGTTTGATGCTTTACTGTCTCTGTATCTATCTTTTTGTTCATCAGTTTATAATGTTCTTTATTATCCATAAATGAGTGAGATCATGCGGTGTTTTTCTTTCATTGACTGGCTTATTTCAAGCACCTCCACTTTTAGTCATTATTGTGTCTTGATTATGCTCTTCTGCTTCTTGCTCTCAAAGCCTCATTATTATATCAAAATGTGAGGTAGGAAAAGAGAAGGTGTTATATGATGCTCTACACACAGGAAAAGATGAAAGTGGTAGCTAAATCTTGGGCTTGCGTTTTGAAATGTAAATCATACTTTTCTATTCGTTCCCTGCTGCCAGTTACCAAATTTGAGAGGTGTTTTGGTGTAGCACTCTGTGGGTGAGACAGCAACTGTGAATACACATTTAAGGATAAAGTTACCTTGAGGGACTCTCATACACTTGTAAATACATAGAAGTTGCAATACTTGATTGGATTCCATCCATATCTATTAAGTTTATTACCATATGATTGCTTTATAATCTCCATCAATTCCTTTTTCTTATGTTAGTTGGAAACCTCCTTGACTGCTGCCAAAAAACAGTTAGCTGATGAAACTCTCCTTAAAGTGGATCTGGAGAACCGCTGTCAGAGCCTCACCGAGGACTTGGAGTTCCGTAAAAGCATGTATGAGGAGGTAACTACGTATACTTTTACCTTTTCAAGGTGTGGAGGGATCCCAAAAGGCTTTGTTATAACTTTTTATGTGAATAATGGGGAGAAATTTTGTAGGTAAATTTTTCAAGGCACTGCTGCGAAAAGGCCGCTTATGAGAAAACAGGTATGATTTTACTTCATCTGATTTATAAAGGCTTAGTCACAGCAGTTAATTACTGTTTACGCATCTGTATTAGTTGTGTATTACTGCCTGACAGATTACTCCAAAACTTAGCAGCTTAAAGCCACAGACCTTTATTATTTCACAGTTTCTGGAGGTGGGGATTCTGAGAGCTGTCTTACTGGATGGTTATGCTTCAGGGTCTCTCATGAGGTTACAGTCAGGCTTTCACCTGGGCTGGAGGACCTGCTTCCCAGCTCCATCACAGGCTGTGGGCAGGAGCTGTTAGCTTAGCGGGGGCTTCTTCAGAGGGCTGCTCACCATGTGGCTTCTCCCAAGAGTGGCGATGAAGGAGACAGTAAGAGCAAGGCAGAGGCCTCATTATCCTCTGGAAGCTAATCCCCGAAGTGATGCATCTTCACTCTCCATCTCTCACTCCAGCCACTGCACGGGGCGTGAATACCAGGAGGCAGCAACCGCTGGGGGCCTTCTTAAAGGCTGGTGCCCATAGTGTGTATAGCTATCTGGATATATAATATTTAAGGTATCACTTACAAGCCTTACCTTCTGTGGCAAACCATGGGGGATTGAAGGCAGCAAGTGTTGCCAAAAAAAAAATAATAATAAAATTGGAGAAAAAGGAATGTATATTTCCTCCAAATTGAAGAGGGTTGGCCTGAATCCAGAGCAAACATGCAGTTAATTAAATGTTTTTAGAAGTAATATAATTTTGAAAACAATAATTAACAATGATTTGAAAATAGGAATTTATTGTATAAGTTAAATTTTTTATTGTAAAAAATATTAGAAATCTGACCATTTTTTATAATGATAGAGTATTAAAAGGGTATTATTGGGACTAAGAGCACTCCCAAACATTCTGACTTTGGGCAACTTTTGAATTGTTTTTTTAATTTAAAAATGAAATACTTGCTATTTTTTTCTTTAAGGAGTGGAGAAGATCAAAATGGAATATTGTGTGTGAAAGCTACTTGTAAACTAGCGAATGCTTCTAAATCTTGTTAACGACAGTTTTGCTTTATAAATGGAGATATTTTTATATTAAGTTGACAAACATTTTTGTTTTGTTATGTTAAAATTGTTTGTAATTTACCACTGCTTATTCTGATGCTGTGCGTGGACTCCTTTCATCTCAGCTTTCTAATATACATCGTTGGGGAACATCTTGTTAGTTTTTGCCTTATTTGAGAATGAACTTAAAATATTCCTTTTTTACATGGAAGATATAATTCTATTCCATAAATATACCTAAGTTCCTTAATAGGGACAGTTAAAGGGGCAGGAATGGTAGGAGAAAACCAGGAAGAGGAGGAAGGGTGGTAGACAAAGGGCTAAATTATTAGTACGTGCTCAACATTTGCTGAGCTAAACCTTTCATTTGCATGCTTTTCACTTCATTAAATAGATGTGAGCCCTCGGAGGTTAATGGCAGAACTAGAAATTGAACCTGGTTTTCTGGTTCTGTCCAATGCATTTTCCTCAGCAAAGAAGTGTTAAAAGAAAGATGAGGAAAGGCATAGGAAAACACTTGCAGTAAGATGATACAGGAACAAGAACTTCAGTGGGTTATATCCCCCTCTTGTGGCCTCTTTAATTATTGTCATTAAAGAACGATCTGTTGTATTTTCAGAGCTGGAAGCGGGAATGGAAACTTGACTCCCAAGCTTGTGTTTCTAGACATTCTAGTTTTGGACAGTTCCTTAAAACGTAGAGCAAAGGATTGAGCCTACATTCTATTCTTTAACAGTGAATTGTCACAAATATTCAAGATAGTAAAGTGCTAATTGTTAAGGTTCTGTAACAGTCGGTATTGATACCTCAGCAGCAGCTCTTACTATAACTCATGTAAATTAGCTTGCTCTGCCTATTATTGCATCTTAGTATGTCTAAGAAAAGAGTTTTATTATGCACAGATCTTCTAGTTGAAGTTGCCCCTACAAGTTGAACTTGTCACATGGATTTTTCTCAGAGGTCTCCTTAGGATCATCAATATGACAATTTAGAAAACCAGTTACTATTCGGTGTACATAGTTATGCATAACTGCATGGTACTTTAGTTACATCTCTCAGGCCATTTCTTGCCTTCAGAGAAATAAATAGCTGTGCTACTGAAAAGAAATATAGAATTCTCAGGGCTTGAGATGCTATCCTTTCTTTATTAGTTTCATCCTTGAAATCTTCTGATTTGAAAACGAAGGCAAAAAACTATATTCCCATGCCTGCCAGGACAGATGCGAGGGTGGGTGCCTAAACTCCAGGTTGCTCTGATGCCACTTATACTTGTACCAGTGCTGCCACTGTAAGCAACCTGCTTTTATGTATTCCTTCCTCTTTCCCCCCCCCAGGAGATCAATGAGACCAGAAGGAAGCATGAAACTCGCCTGGTAGAGGTGGATTCCGGGCGTCAGATCGAGTATGAGTACAAGCTGGCACAAGCCCTTCACGAGATGCGTGAGCAGCACGATGCCCAGGTCAAGATGTACAAGGAGGAGCTGGAGCAGACCTACCACGCCAAAGTAAGGTCGCTTCGGCGGGCAGGTTCAAACGCTGAGCCATGACCTCAGCCACCTTTGCTCTGTTCTCGTTTTCTATTTTAAAATTTATCTTTGTCGCTGAAAGTATTACAGATATTTCTCTCTTTTTTTCCCCGTGACCCTCCTCCTCCCTACCCGCTACCCCCTGGCTTTCACCACACGCTGAATAAATGTTGCTAGAAAGAGGAAGTAGGATTATTCTAATGTTACCTGAGATGAGGGGTTATCTTTTTGTTCCACTGATCAGTCATGTCATGTCCTAGCAGTAAAACCCAAGACATCTGAAAACAGTTTTCTTTCAATAACAAGTGCTGATCACGCCGTCCTGCACATCCACGCGATTATAAACGAACGCTGGGCTGCATCTAGTTCTGACCTCCGTGGCATCACACGCTTGGGGCTTTTTGAACAAAGGCCAAATGGAAAGTCTGACATTTCTTCCTCTGGCACTATTATTAATTGAAAAAAATATTATAAAACTTTTGTATTAGCGGACCATGCAAAAATCTTATCAGATCACCAACGAGTTCAAGCTTTCCTAGGAAATGATTTTACCCCGATGCGGTAAATGTTACATGTTTTAATTAGAAAGGATTATTAGTGAAGGTTTAGAAAGTTGGGGTCATAAAGGTATTGAAAATAATTTCTGTTGCATGGCCTTACACTGTTCATGTGGTTTTAATTCATTTTATGATGTAATAGTTGGTTGGTGGAAGGGAGAGGTTCTTTTTCTTTTTTTTAATTTATATATTTTATTGATTTTTTTTACAGAGAGGAAGGGAGAGGGATAGAGAGCTGGAAACATCGATGAGAGAGAGATATCAATCAGCTGCCTCCTGCACACCCCCTACTGAGGATGTGCCCGCAACCAATGTACATGCCCTTGACCGGAATCGAACCTGGGACCATTCAGTCCGCAGGCTGATTGATGCTCTATCCACTGAGCCAAACCAGTTTCGGCAGGAGATGTTCTTTAAGCCCCATATCCAATTACCCAATACTTGTTCAGTGCGAGGCATTGTGCTGGGCAGTGGAGGAGCCAAAGTAAGGATCGGCTGGTCCGTCACATGGACTGTGGCCTCAAAGGGAACCAGGGGAGAGACGGCGTACAAAAAAGCATGCTGAGCACTATGGATATTTGGAGGAATAGGATATTGAATTACCTGAGGAGCTGGGTTTTTTTGTTTGTTTGTTTTGTTTTTTGCTTCTGAAAGGAAGTGTTTCTGTCTGGTTTTAAGTAATCTATCAATTAGTGCTTTCTGCCTGTTTTCTTTATATTCTGTATTATTTGGCGGGTTAGAAGCATTTGATGTTTGTTTTCCTACCATGGTTAAACTGCTACTGCCCAACAGAGAAATGTTGATCGGAGACATTAGAGATATAATGGACAAAATGTTGGAGTAATACACGTTGGGCAAAGACCCAGGTATGTGAACATTGTTAAAGGTCAGACATTGAAGCACTTAATGTTACTTTTCCCGTGTCTGCCAACTTCATGCTGCTCTTCCTGTTTCATCAACCAGTTACCAGCAGGGCTGAGGTTTGACATGAAACGCCTTGAGATGAATCATGCTTCCTCATTTGTGTGTCCCGTTTCACAAAGGCTGACGATCGCTTGCTTCTTCTTTTAGCTCGAGAATGCCAGGCTCTCCTCAGAGATGAACACGTCTTCTGTCAACAGCGCCAGGGAAGAACTCATGGAAAGTCGTATGAGAATCGAGAGCCTTTCATCTCAGCTTTCTAATCTACAGAAAGAGGTAAGTCACATCTTCCCCGACGAGGAACCGAAGATGAACTTGAAGCCACCTCCACCAGGGTCGTTCCCCTGGCTTTGCTCTGCCCGGAGCCACTTTGCAGAGAGGGTGGAGTTTGTCTGCCTTCACAGAGCCGCCCAGGTTTTGCCACTTTGCATTGCGGAACGTCCTCCGAGCAGAAGACCGTTATTCCTAAATTGGTAGATTGATCCACTGCTCACCTTACTTACTTGGAAAGTAACCTGAGCTTCTGTTTTTCTTTTTTTTTCTTTCTTTTCTTTTTTTAATATATTTTATTGATTTTGTACAGAGAGGAAGGGAGAGAGATAGAGAGTTGAGAGAGAGTCATCGATCAGCTGCCTCTTGCATACCCCCTACTGGGGTTTCTACATGTTGCTTACAGCATTTCTATCATTTCTATCTAGACTTTTTTCACTTTGGCTAAGATAATTTGTTGGTCAGTCTCTTTGTATGCAGGCATGTCCAGTGGCACTTGTGAAAGCATGTTTAGTTTTTGTTTTCTTACATCCAGACTCTGGAAACTGCTATTGCAACTAGAGCATAATAAACTAGTGCAATAAATTGTTACAAACTATAAAATAAAATAAAAAACAAGACCATTAGAGGTCAGTCATAAAATTTTAGAGTTCGAGGTGGGATCTTACAGATAATTAGGCCTCTTCACTTTCCAAATGTGGATGCTGGGTTAGTGAGTGCTGAGGGTCTCCTCTGTAGCTAACAGCAGGATTGGGAGGGAGGCCTGCTTCTCATGTCCCGTTCTATGTTTTTCACACATAACAGATGCAGTGCAGCTATTTAAAATATAATTTAAATGTTCCTATTTAAACTACAAAATGATTCAGAATAACTTTAAACCCTTTTTAGCCTACATTTTGATTTTTCTCTCTTAAGGAACACGGGAGCATCAACGACAGACCAATAGGGGTGTTTCAGGGTTTATACATCCAGGTGCAGAGGTTCTCTGAATCTTGGGAACTTTTTGTCTCATCAGCCCTTTATCCTTTTTTTTAATTTGTAACATTTATTTCATTTCATTGTAAAGCGTCTATGTCATCTGCCCCTTTAGATTCCATCTTGTTGCTCATTCTGTCTACCTCCCACCTGGGAATAAGGTGAAGAGATTCATTGAAGAAGAGAATTCATTGAAGAGCGCGCGCATATATATATATATATATATATATATATATATATATATATATAATTTTATTTATTTATTTATTTATTTATTTATTTATTTATTTATTTATTTTTAGAGGAAAGAACATATAGAAACCGAGAGGATAAAATGTATTTCTCAGTTTATAGCATTGTTTTTGCAAATGCATCTAAGTGCAAGCTGTCAGAGACAGGGACTATGTTTGGTATCACCATTATGAAGAAGGCCTGCTTCTGATACAGAATGTTAGATGCTGCTCTGAATTGTAATTGATTGATGATTGATTGATTGATTGATTATTTTTTAGACAACCTTTTTGGGGGAGCATAATTCAGGGTTTACCGAAAAGTTGAAAACTTGGTCCAGACAGTTCCCCTGTCTCCCTTCCCCCGTTGCCCCTATTGGTTAACATTTTGTTCATGGTCTGAACTGAGACCTGGCAGTAGCAGACTCCAGACTGTTTGGGTTTCACCACATCTTCTGTTACTGCTATTCTGCTCCAGGGAACCCCTCTCCTGAGTCTCCTGGTCTGGCACAGCTTCTTAGGCTTCCCTTGTTCTTATGACCATGACAGTTTTGAGGAGCACTAACAGATACCCTATAGACTGTTCCCGATTGGATTTATCGGGTGCTTTTCTCCTGATTAGCCTGGTTCATGTATTTAGGTGCCCTTATTGCATCAAATCAGGGATGATGTGACAACCATGTTAGATCCCTGGTGATGTCAGTCTTCGCAGTTGGGTAAAGTGGGGTGTGCCAGGTTTCTCCCCGACCAGATGACTGTTCTTCCCTCCTCACTCATTTCCGAGCTGTCAGGGCTGAAGGGCGGGGATTCAGCTCTACATGCTGAGGTGGACTGTCTGCATTTATTAACCGGAACGCTTAAGTAGAGGTGTAGTTCTTCTGCCCTATTGACACTTTGATTTATTCATGTATTAGTTCACATCAGGGTGAACTCATGGATATTTCACTCGGGTAGGATCCAGTACTACATCTCTTTACCACCTTCGGCTATTAGGAGTTCCTCAGGGGGGGGTTGCCACGGCCCCCACTTTGGAGCACTTCTTTACTTCCTAGTGCTCGGAGGTGCTGCAGGCTCATCTTGTATCCTCCCTGCCCCCACCTCAGGTCTGCCATTTCTCCCAGGAGCCCTGAGGGGAAGGTACGTGCACATGGGGTCGGGCTCTGAGTGTGCTCACTGGTACCAGGGTCGCCGCTCCCCGGCCTCTGCAGGCAGAGCTAGGCCATCCGGGAATGTTTGCTAACCCGTGTTTGCGCTCTTAGTTGCCTCCTTGCCTGAATGTTAAGCTAAATACAGATTCGTCCTGATGCCTCTGACTCCTACCCTGTACCTCAGGGTTCATTTCAGGCTCCCTTTCTCGCTTACCTGTAATTTTTCTCCCAGAGAGTAAGAAACCTGGTTTCTTCCATCCTGTTTACTGACTTGTTCGAGCCCAGTGTACATATAAAGCAGTTTCACAGTTTGTTGCCCACACCCTGCCGGCAATAAATCTCCCCGCGGAGCGCAGTGTGTCTGCACCGCGTGGCGTTCCTTTTATCTCTGGGCTCCCAGGGCCTCAGCTGTCCGTCGTTCCTTTTGAATTGATGACCTTTGTCGCTTTCTGAGGCTACTGAGATGAATTCTGTCTTGGAGAAATATAGAGGAATAATTACCTGGTGAGCCACAAGGTTTCTAAGATTAACTTCCTGGCACAAGATGTGTAATTTCTCATTTTTTAAAATACCAAATGTGAAGTTTTTATATTTACAATGATATTTTGCAGAGTACACTGTGTTGTTAGACTTTGCGGGCGGGATGAGCAGGAGAGCACAGCAGTCCCACAGGGACACTCCCTAAAGGGACAGCCAGAGCCCCTGTGGAGTCCCCAATAGTTCAGCAACTCTCAGACTGCCCGCCCCTGTGTTTTCTTCTGTCAACGAGTTTCTTATCTATTTTTAGTTCTTTACCTTTGTTAATTGATACTTCTGAGCTAAAAGGATTGTAAGGGAGTCAGACTTGACTCTCATTAAAGCCCTAGTTTAGAATTCTGTTTTATTTAGTCAAATATGGAAAACTTACAGGAATATTTATGACTCATTTGATGGCTATATCCTTTATAAAGCATTTCCTGTGGGCTGCATTTTATATTGGAGGAATTTTGGTTTTTAAATTCTTAAAATCAAAATCTCTTGCATTCTGAATCTTTTAGACATTCTTTAGGATTCTATTTGCTTTCCAACCCAGACAGAGGATTGTGGTTTAAAATAGCCGCCTGGGCTAATGTGGGAATGTTCCTCGAAAGTCAATGTGTCCCCTTGAATCTGCAGTCTAGAGCCTGCTTGGAGAGGATCCAAGAGCTGGAGGACTTGCTCGCTAAAGAAAGAGACAACTCTCGGCGCATGCTGTCTGACAAAGAGAGGGAGATGGCGGAAATAAGGGACCAGATGCAGCAACAGCTGAGCGATTATGAGCAACTTCTCGACGTAAAGTTAGCCCTCGACATGGAAATCAGTGCTTACAGGAAACTCCTAGAAGGCGAAGAGGAGAGGTGAGCAACTCGGGCATCTACTTTATGGCCTACTTTTTGCCCCACCCTTTTTATTTAAAGGAGAGTAGATAGGATTGGGTTATATTTTAAAACAAGGTTAACTTCAAATATTTTCTCTGTCATTTCTTTTAACACTGAGGTGTTGAAATGTTCATAGTAATAGATCATATTTCTATGTCAGCAACAAAAACTGTGGTTCAGTCTATTATTATTATTATTATTATTATTATTATTACTAGAGGCCCAGTGCATGAAATTCGTGCACGGGTGGGGGGTGTCCCCTCAGCCCAGCCTACACCCTTTCTAATCTGAGACCCCTTGAGGGATGTCCGACTGCCAGTTTAGGGCTAATCCCAGGGATCAGGCCTAAACCGGCAGTCGGACATCCCTCTCACAATCCTGGACTGCTGGCTCCTAATTGCTCACCTGCTTGGTCATCCCTAACTGTCTTCCCCTCCCGCCCCCACCCCTTCACCCCCACCCTGCTGGTCTGATTTTCCCTAACTGCTCCTTGCTGCTGGCCAGGTTGCCCCAGCTGCCCCCTCCCTGCTGGCCTGATTGCTCCTAACTGCCTCCTTCTGTTGGCCTGGTCACCCTCAACTCCCCCTTCTCCCCAATCCACTGCTGGCTTGGTCACCCCACACAGCCTGCTTGTTCAGTGGTTTGGTCTTCCCTCACTAATCCCCCTGCCAGCCTGGTCATATGCAGCCATCTCGTGAGGGTGTGAGGGTCAATTTGCATAACACCTATTTATTACTTTCCTTTGAGATTTAAAATGTTTTGATAATTTAGTAAGTTGTAAAATATCAGATTTGCTGAAAGACTTTCTACTTATTTTTCAAATCAGGATTAGTGTATAAATCCTTTTAACACCTATTCTCAGAAAAAAAAGTTCCAATGGAAAAGTGTCTGATTTAGAATAAAAAGCCATTCAATTTCAGTATTGCGTACAGTTGTGATTATAATCTTGTAAAAACAAAATGCAGGTATGATAAGACTAAAAAGTACAGTAAATATAACAATGTTTGTGTAGGGTGATGGTAGATAGGACAATTTCTTCCGGTTTTCCAAACCTTCTGCATTACGGTTATATTCTGTTCCTGGGGAAAGCATTCAGATTACTATTCCTCTAAAGAAGACTGATGGTGGACATCCTCCCGCAAAGAAGTCTATCTTAGCTAAGATGCGCACCAGCTTTGTCTCACAGATCACCAGTCGTGCTTTGCTTTAGAAGTGCACGTGCAGGATTTTAACATCCACTTTTAAGGCAGGAGGGGAAGTATGTTTCATAAACGGAGCATTCTGTTTCCCTGTAGATTGAAGCTCTCGCCGAGCCCTTCCTCCCGTGTGACAGTCTCACGAGCATCCTCCAGTCGCAGCGTGCGCACCACTCGGGGGAAGCGGAAGAGAGTGGACGTGGAAGAATCGGAGGCGAGCAGCAGTGTTAGCATCTCTCATTCCGCCTCAGCCACCGGGAACATCTGTATTGAAGAGATAGATGTTGACGGGAAATTTATCCGCTTGAAGAACACGTCTGAACAGGTAAAAAAATTTTCCCCCAGCAAGACTTTGCTGACTGGTGGGCTATCTTGCAATTGTAACAGCTCCTCAGCCTTTACGTGGATTTAGTGGCCTTCACCTAAGTTCATGGAGAAAGTATCAGTGACACCAGGAGGGGGAAGTGGAGCTGGTGCGCTAAGCGGTTTGAAGATTTTCTTCATTAGCCCTTCCTTACAGAAGCGCCAGGGCTTCTGTTCACTCCTGGTCATTTTGTCACAGTGGCATTCCTGAGGATGATTACTGTTACTCCCTGCCCTCGCAAGGTTTCTGAAAAACTTGGCGTGTGGGTGTGAATGGAGGGTATTCTTTCACAGCCATTAGCTTTACGAAAAGAAGGAAATATAAGCCAGACTCAGGTATTTCCTCTCTAAATGAAGGAGTGAACGAATGCTAATGCATCTGGACCACTTCTGCCCACATTTAATCTGCAGCGTGGTCAAAGTTGCTGTTTTGCTGAATGACAAAGCCATATTTTCTTTTTTTAATCTCTTTTTATTTTAGAGGGAAGGAGAATGAAGGTGAAAAAGGGAGAGAGAGGGAGAAGGAGAGGAAGAAAGAGAGAGAGAAACATCAAAGTGAGAGTGAAACATCAACTGGTTGCCTCCTGAATGTGCCCTTACTGGGGATTGAACCTGAAACTTTTTGGTGTATGGGATGATGCTCCAACCAAGTGAGCCACACTGGCCAGGGCACCATATTTTCTTTGTATTATAGGAAAATGGGAATCATGGGAGTCAGCCATAAAGCTAGATTAACTTCCTTTATAGACTCATTTGTTTGATTATTCCATAGCTCTCTGTGTATTTGAAGTGACCTTGTTTTATTTTCTTCTCTGAATAGGATCAACCAATGGGAGGCTGGGAGATGATCAGAAAAATAGGAGACACATCAGTCAGTTACAAATATACCTCAAGATATGTGCTGAAGGCAGGGCAGACTGTTACAGTAAGTGGATTTAGTCATTTAACTTCATTGTCTTACCTATCAATATTTCAGGAAAATGTTTGGCTTAAAGAGAAGCATTTTAGAAATAGGCATTAAAACATCTTTGACATCATTAGGAAATCACACATGCTATTAAAGATTTTAAAAGGCTTGTGTTATTGAGAGTTGCAATTGTCTATTAAAAGTGAAAGAATTGACCTATGAATTCTTTCTATTTTGTCTGAACAAGTAAAACAGCTGTCTCCTGACTGGTAATTGTAGCCCAGGGTCCTTGAGAAGATACTGCTTGGCATAGAGAACAGTTAGGAAGACCATCTGTTATGCTGGGATCAGTCTCACCTCGACAGCCTTTAGTCTCAGATGAGCATCAGAATGTGGGCAGTGGGTAATGTCCAGGCCCCACTTACCTTACTCACCATCTCTAGTGCTGGGATAGGGACTACTTACGTTCTCAATAGAAGTCATTAGGTGATAGGCACTGCTTAAAGAGCCACTCCTTGAAACATAGTATTTTACCAAAAGTTACACGTGGATTTTACATGATATGTAAAAGATTTAGAGAGATGGGTTATGTGCTATTCTGATTTGTTTTGAATTCTAAGTGATTTTCTATTGCTGTGTTCTGAAACACTGCATCTTCACTAGTGGCTAAATATCATTTGCTCATTTTCAGAGAATTTTCATTGATTAAGCACCAGGTTCCTTCGCTCTACTTAGTAAGTAGCTTTAGCAAACAATATGTTAGCTTTGATAGAGATCTTTAACAAGTTACTGTTTTCATCCCTAGAGAATGTAGAGATGGCTTTTTAGCAATTCTTTTAAAAATATTAAACATGTTTTAAATTTGGATGGATATTATCTTTACTTAGTGTCTAAGAGCAAAAGCTGAAGAGGTTAGAACTTATCTTTTAAAAGTTATTCATAGAGCTTGATGCCATATTGTGAAAATGTCAGATGCTAATTTTATAATCATGGGTAAAAATGGGAACAAATACCCTAATTACATTATCCTTTCCTCTCCGTAGTAATTACTATAGTGAGAAAATTGCTCAGTTTTTATTATTTGTCTTATGGAAGCTGCATAATGTAGTGGAAAGCATCTAACATTTTAATTCAGAAGATTCAGATTTGAGTGTGCTCTCTCTTTAAAGTAATATAAAGCCATTATGCCAATCACTGCATTTTCCACTGCATATAATTCTGCAGGACTGAATAGATATACATTCTGTAGGGCGAGGGGAGAAGCCAGTTGTCATATAAAATACTGGAGTGCTTTTTTTTTGTCTAGTCGGCATCATGAAATGTGAGAAGCACGTTAGTGATAAGTGATTTATCTATAAAATTGTAAGAGGTGATAGCAAAGATGAATTTAAAATTCTAGAACAGAAATAAGAGAACTACACAGGTCATTGTAAATTTTCTTGTAGCCACATTTAAAAAGAGTAAAGAAAGTTGTGAAATTAACTTTAGCACTACATTTTATTTAATCCGGTATATCCAAAATATCACAATTTTAACATGGAATCAATATAAAAAATTGTCAGATAGTTTACTTTTTTTTTGAATTGAGTCTTCCTACTGATGGAAGTCTGCTCAGATGCATTCCTTTTCCAGTTTTCTCCCAGAACATGCCCCCTGGCCCTTGCCACGTGTAATGCCGATGGAAGGCCTGGGAGCTGCAAGTGGGCATCTGACGAGGAAGGGCTTCTCATCAGTACTCCATAGGCTTTCCCGAATTTGGAAGTATACTGGCCTGGACCATCTCCAATCTTCTTCCGCCATCAGATAGCTCGTTGTGTTGTAAAACAAGTTACTGGTAGAGAACTTTCCTCGTTTTATGTGGTTCTTTAGGACAATCGGGACAGGTTGCCGTGTTGTTGAGGGTACAGGTGTAGTGACTTGTCCAGGATTCACACCTACATTTTCTACTCTAAAGTTTTTTTCCACTTTACCCGTATTCTTCTGCCAGTAAGTACATTAAAAATATGGCAGAATTTTCATACTGATGAAAGGGAAAATGTAATTGTCTTCTTTGTTTTGCCTGTTTCAATAGCAGTCACATTCCTGTATCTTTTTAAAAAAAAAAAAATATATATATATATATATATTTTTTTTTTATAGAGAGGAAGGAAGAGAGAGAGAAGTAGAAACATCGGTGAAAGAGAAACATCGATCAGCTGCCTCCTGCACACTCCCCACTAGGGATGTGTCTGCAACCAAGATGCATGCCCAGGAATTGAATCTGGGACCCTTCAGTCTGCAGGCCGATGCTCTAGCCACTGAGCCAAACCGGTTAAGGCTCCTGTATCTTTTTGGAGTTCCATTCACACGGTTCCTGGTTGGAGACATACCACTGTCCATGAGTATTCTCTATAGGCCGTCTCCCCCAGAAGGTCTGAGAGAAGTTAGTCCTCCTGGATCCTTGCTGCAGGCAGCTGGAGGACAGATACTGGGAATGGTCAGAGGCTCCCTTCACATGAACTCAGGGAGTTAATAGAATGCTGACAGTGAGAGCTCGGATTCACTGAGCAAGCCAGCCACCCCTTGTCCTGGATAAAAATGTCAATCTTCTAGGTACCATTTCCATCCCATTTTATGGATGACAACAGTAAGGTAACTTTCTCCAGGGTAAGCTGACATGCAGAGGAACTAGGAGGTGAATGTAGGCAACTTTACTTCCGAGCCCCATGTCATCATTTTCACTTATCAGCTGAGGAAGCTGAAGCCCAGATAAGTTGTGCGGGTTCTCCTTGACACAGCCAGTTCATGTAGCGGGTCTGGAGCTAGGGCACAGGTCTGAGGCCTTTAGAATCAGCCCTCCTGGGCGTTGAGCTCTCTCATAATGGTGCTGTCATCAGCAGGCGGATATGGGTTCTGAGTAGACTGATGTCCTGGTTTTGTTTCCAGATCTGGGCTGCAAACGCGGGTGTCACAGCCAGCCCTCCCACCGACCTCATCTGGAAGAACCAGAACTCCTGGGGCACTGGCGAAGACGTGAAGGTCATCCTGAGAAATTCTCAGGGAGAGGTACGGCCTTTCGTGTTATCAGCACCACTACCATGTCCGCTTCACCCGAAAGTTCATCACGGGAGTGTGGCTTCTTTGCAGAAATCAAATCAAAAAGTAACCGACTGCTTAAATCAGACCAGGGCTGCCGCATAATTCAGGGGACGCTGCCTTCAGATGTGGGGACGCTGACTTCAGACATGGGGACGCAGTAGGAGTGTCATAGTCCTGTCTGGTGACAGCAGAGGCTCAGTGAGCCTGGCCAAGCCGTGGTCCCCATGCACACGGCTGTGTGCCCTTGGCAACTTCCTTCCCTGGCTTAGTTTTCTCTAAAACGGAGATAAGACAATATAAGTGAGCTAACATTAATACAGTGAGCAACAGCATGAAACAATCCTGGGAGGTGCTTGGAACAGCATCTGGTCTCTGTGAATGTAGTGTTACCAACCTTGTTACTGGCTGTCAGTGTGTGTGAAACTGAATTTGAAGATTGTGGAGTTTGAAGATTTGCTTGATGTGTATGTTTTCAACATGTCAGTCCTAGAATTCTTGTCAAAGTACCTTACCCATCCCCAAATGTCAGGTAAAGTCACCTCGTGCCCCCACCACATACACACACCCCCAAACACACACACACACACACACACACACACACACACACACCCATGAGTGTTGTCTCGTGCACCAGGAGACACAAGTGTCTGTGGGAGGGAGTGGCCTCAGGCAAATCCCAGTGCCCCGAGGGCTGCTTCTCTCCTGAAGGGCCAGGTACAGGCCTCGTGCCCCGCCCTGCGCGGCCAGATGGGCCCCTCACAGGAGAGTGAGTACATCGAGGGCAAGGACCTGTTCTCATTCTTCCCTGGCATTGTGCCTGGCACACAGTAGGCATTCAGGAAGAATTTCCTGGATACATTTTTAAAAAAATCAAACCTGGACCTTCACTTAAGTTCAGAGAAATAAAGTGATTAACTGAGCTGTCATGGGGCTGAGGTATTTGCATCGGAAGTCCTGTGCCAGCCCCCTTCCCATCCTCCCTCACTGTCAGCGCGCTGATGACTAACCTTCACGCAAGGGACCCGCCGAAGGATGCGGAGCGGCCCTGGTCTCAGGCTGAGGCTGGGATGGAATGGCATCTGTCTTGTCTGTAGGCCTCAGTCTAGCCGTGTTAATTTTGGAGGTGCATTTGGGACTCTCACCTCCAAATGCCCGCTGGGTTCTCCGGGTAGGGCAGTGCTTACAGTGCCCTCAGTAATTCACAGGCTTCCAGTGGGGGGTCTCCCTCCTGTTTGTCTGCGCAGGTCCTGGCCTGCTGCCTGCAGCCCTTTGGAGGCCTTCCCAGCGGTGGCTGGTGCCGCCGCCTCTGTGCTGGGATTTCCGTAGCCCCTGGGCTGGTGGTTCCCTGTAACTGACGTGGGCAGAGCACATGTCCCTTTTGGAACCCGCAGGGGCTGTGTGCGCTAGGTTGGAAGGCGCTGTGGGAAGGCAGATGAAATCGGCTTGTGTGAGCCGTGGGATCTGGTTGCACCCAGAGCGTTCTTTTCTGTGTGAAAAGGTGTTCCAACTTCAAGGTGATCTTAATAGGAGGATATTTGGAACGCAGCAGGTTCAGAAACCCACACTAGAGATACAATGACATGAATAAAGCAGGTGCTAGAGCCTGGGTGGGCTTGAGGTTATAGTGACGTTTCCATGAAGTGAACGGAAGTTCGGGTTTCCCTTCATAATTAGACCACTGACTGTCAGATCCATTGGATGGTTTGTCTATTTTTTAAAAAAAAAACATTTGCTTCCTGTTTGCTTGGCTCTATTAGTGACGTCTGTCAGCAGCAGGGGCAGTATCACAATATAGTTACTGATTCCTGTGACTTGTCACGAGTACTTTTGTCAGCTACCTAACTCTGCAAGACTGTGTTTACTAGTAGGTCCCAGACCATGTTTGCAACGATCTGTATTCATCACCATAAAGACCACTTTTCTGTAACCTTGAAGGTAATTGGCTCAAGTCAGATTCATTTTCTGTGCCTATTTCCTTCTCACTGAGTCATGGAAAGTGTCAGAAAACCCAGTGAGACTGGCTCTAAAAGCATGGGAATGTGTGGGCTCACAAAACCGAATCTCCAGCGGCAGTAGGCTTGACCCCTGGGCGTACCCAGTGTTCAGGGGTCACTGCTTGTTGTCTCTGCTCCCCGCATTGTCTCCCTCATGGATTCAGGATGGCTGCTGGCCGCCCCTGGAGCTGGATTGGTACGGGAAAGAGCAGCTTCCCGTGTCTTAATGTGCCCCCCTCTAACCCAGTTCTGGGGCCAGGAGGCCATGCTGGGGCTTGAGTCTCCCTCTCCCTCCCCAGCGGGGGTCACACGCCGTGGGACAGATGGGTGTCCAGTGAAACGGGGGCTCTGACTGAGAAATGAGGGAGGGGAGTGTTGGATGGTTAAAAACACAGAAAGTAAAATGTCTTTATATGAGGGAAATAAAAAATAAAGCAATGTTTCTGTACCGTGCAGAATATAGGCACAACTGAAATTTATCTATGAAAATGATTATTGCCGTATACAGCGACGTCTTAACTTAACCCTCGGCTCCTCCATTAACAAAAACGCCCTGAGTAGTTATACCCCAGAAAACAGTAAATGTCACATAGCTCAGCCGCCAGAAGCTAGAAGGTGAAGAATCTGCAACAGATTTTGAAAAAATCTTTCCTTATTTTAAGATGAGTTGAGGAAAGCTGGGCACTTCAAAAGTTTTTTTGAGAATCTTCTCTGCAACCTTTAGGTGCACGGGACAGTGCCCAACCAACTGAGCCATACCAGCCAGGGCTCCAGCTTCCTTTTATTCAGCATTTATTTGGCACCTTCTTCTTGCTGGAGCCATGTGAGAGCCTTACTCTGTATTCACGTGAACTGCTATAAGAATTCAATCTGCCAAATCACTTACAGGATTTGGAGTAACAGAATGGGATAAGAAGCAATGGGACCTTCTCAAATTGGGTACCAGCAGCTTCTCTGCAGGGAATGCTGAAGATCTAAGAACTGCCTCTGATTATGCAAAGATTCCTGTTCAGGAGCTAAAGCTACTGATGAGCCTCTTTAAACAACGTCCCCGGTGTAGGAATGCTATTTCTTAAACTTACGTGTGACTTCAACGTAAAATCAAACTCCTCTTGCTTTTAGGAGGTGGCTCAAAGAAGTACAGTCTTTAAAACAACCATACCGGAAGAGGAAGAGGAGGAGGAGGAAGCAGCTGAAGTGGCTATCGAGGAAGAACTTTTCCACCAGCAGGTATTGTTACTTCAGTATATCTGCTTTAAATGTTGTTAATGGAGTTAACATGGAGTTTGGTTTTCCCTTGTGCTTGATGAGCCAGAGCAGTGAACTATGAGTGGGGGCTGCTTTTCCTGAGAAGACACTGGGGATAGTCCATCAGGCGACTGCAAGAAAATGCTGGCATGCCTTTTTAAAACATTGTTTTCTCACTATATACAATTTCAGTTTTGTCTTGTTTTTTTTTTTTTTTTTTTTTTTTAATGTACATAGTACGGTAGGACGTGTGACACTTATGAAGCATATGTAATTGGAATGCATGCTCAAAATTGTTTACTTAAGGATTCTGTGATTGAGAAGTTTACACCTCGAAATTAGAGTAAGCATCAGCATGTAAACTTTAAAAAAAAAAAAATAACAAAGAGCAATATTCGGCTTCAGAAGGAAACCAAATTGATGCTATATTAAGTTCTTAATCATCTAATTGCAAGATAGGCTGTAGCTGGTGCTTGGGCTTTTGAGAGCCCTTAAAATAAAGAAGCTCCAAATTTGATTCTAGTTAAATTGGAATTATTAATAACTAATGAGCCTTCAGTTTATATTCTCAGGCTGCTTGGGTCTGATCATTAATCAAAGCTGCTATTTTCATAAGCCTGTCTCCAGATTTATAGGCCTGTTCGCTTTGCTTTATGAGTCCCAATCCTACTCCAAATGAACATTATCTTAGTGTGTAGTCCCCATGGTGGAGAACCGCTGGAGGTGGGCTGTATGAGGTAGAATGAACTCTTGGCCTGGATACTTCATACATTTCAGGGACTATTTAAGAATAGATACTTTAGACTTGGCTTCACTGAGAAACAAGCCCCAGATCCGATCCCGCCCTTAAAGAACCGTTGTAATGACTGGGAGTAAAATAACAATGTCAGATATTTTCGCGAGCTGTAGTCGGCCGGCCGCTGGAGGAGCTGAGATCACCGGGAAGGCTGCTTGTCCAGTGTTCTGAAGGACGGGCAGTTGTTTGGGCATGAGATGCAGACAATGATGTTCTGAGGGTGTTTGAATTATTTGTTGTTACACTGACAAACCACCCCAAAACTTAGTGGCTTAAAACAATGTGTTTTTTTTTCCTTCCCATGATTCTGTGGTTTGACTGGGCTCAGCTGCGAGATTATCTTGCTTCCCGTGATGGAGACTGAGTTAATCAAGCAGTTTCTGGGAGCTTGGCTGGGGCCAGAAGTCCCTCACATCTCTTTCCATGTGGCTGCTCAGCATTCAGCCCAAGCTCCACAACATGGCAGCTCCCTCCCAAGAGGGGAAAACAGAGCGCTGGATCGCTTACCGGCTGGGCCCAGGCATTCTCCCAGCCAGAGCAGTTAATATAAGGCCGCTTCGGGGGAGGGCCAAAGTCTCCCCTCTTTCCTTAGGGGGGGCGGTGGAGAGTTTGAGGGGGCATGTCAAGACTCAAGCACGAGGTGTATCCGTGCATCCAGGTGTGTTGCCGGGTGTGAGAGAAAGAGGCGAGATTGGAAGGCGGTAGCGGCTGCACATTTTGAAGCAGAGGAGAAATTGAAACGAGGATTGACTGTACATGGGAGATTGCAGAGGTACAGAGGGACTGTTCCTCTTTTTTTTTTTTTCCTTTTTTTTTTTTCCTTTTTCTGTTTAATTCATTTAGAGACAGGAAGGAAGGAGGTGGGGAGAGAGAGAGAGAGAGAGAGCGAGAGAGAGAGAGAGAGAGAGAGAGAGAGAGAGAGAGATATTGAGATTTGTTGTTCCACATATTTATGCATTCCATTTAGTGGTTGATTGTTGTTTGTGCCCTGACCTTGGAGTATCGGGATGACACTCTAACCAACCGAGCTACTAGACCAGGGCACTGAGAAACTATTAAAATGCAGACTCATTAGGGCACAGTGGCTGAACTTGAGGTTGAGAGAAGGAAAACAGAAGTTAAAGATGTGTGAGGTTTTTATCTTTTGTGATCAGAGAAAATATAATAACATCAAGGTTTAGGAGACGGAGATAGAAGGACAGATCAGCAAGTTTGACTTCACGGTAGTGAACGAATCCAGTGGCCGTGCGAGCTGATGGGAAGCTTTTCTGGTGGCTTTCATGTGTGAGGATGAACCCAGTGCAAATGCTTCGGGACGGAACAACGAGGAGCCAGCGGCGTATTCGCTGACGTGGTTGTTTAGATGGATTCCATCCATCTCTTTCCTAACTTATGGAAGGAAGTTAGTGGACAGTGGTTTTCAACTTTGGTTGCATATTAGAATTACTTAGGAACGTTATTAACATTTTATGTAAATAGATTCTCATTTAATTGATCTAGGGACCTAGATTAGAATTTATTTTCTTATTGAAGCCGGAGTTGAGAATCACTGTGCTGGAATTTGTTAGAGTTTTCTGGGGAAGAATTCCGTGAGGGACAGGTGAAAAAGGATAAGTGAGAAATGATGGTGATACCTGAAGATACGGATTTGTAGCATCTCTCGTTAAAATACCGAGATCCACTTTCTTAGCACTGATTTCTCTTCTCTTTTCCTCGTCAGGGAGCCCCTCGAGCATCCAATAGAAGCTGTGCAATTATGTGAACTTATCAAGTCGACTGTCTTCCTCAAAGTAACGAAGGATGGTAATCCTTACCTACATACAGTGCAGAGCCTTCTCAGAAGCACAGAATATTTTTATATTTCCTTTATGTGAATTTTTAAGCTGCGAAATGATGGCCTTAATTTCCTTTTTTGACACTGAAAGTTTTGTAAAAGAAATCATATCCATACACTTTGTTGCAAGATGTGAATTATTGACACTGAACTCACTGTACTGTTTGGAAAGGGTCCCTCAAATTTTTTGACATTTTTTTTTTTTATATGTGTATGTTTTTTTTTTAAGTTCTTATGAGAAGAGAAGGGGAGGGAGGGTCAATAAACCACTGTGTGTTTGGGCATAATTTGAAGATTGCTCCATCTAGATTAGCAATCTGCTCTTGACTATTCTCTGCTACATATAACGGTGCTGTGAGGGAGGGGGAAAGTGTTTTTCAATATATCGCAATTTTGTACTGAATTTTTTTGTAATAAACAATCATGGCTACAATTTTTTTTTTTTAAATAGAAAAATTTTGTAAGATGGCAATATTAATCTAATCATGTAAGCACCCTGGATGAAGGATTCCAAAAAACTTTGTTTTATGGTTACTTCTTTTAGATTCTTAATTCACCAGGGGATGGGGGGAGGGAGGGCAAGGAGAGGGAGGGCTTCTCTTAAAATGCGTTAGCTATGTTTTTTTAAGATAGTGTAACTTGCTTAAATTTCTTATGTGACATTAACAAATAAAAGGCTGTTTTAATATTAATCTACTGTCTTCTTTTAACTTGTGCTCAGTGCTTTATGCTTTTTAGCTTATCCTATATAATAAAACGCTAATATGCAAATTGACTAAATGGTGGAACGACTGGTCGCTATGACATGCACGGACCCCAGCGGGGAGACGCTCACTGCAGGACCTGCCCCTAGCTTGCAGGCCCCAGGCCAGCCAAGGTGGGTGCCAGTGAGCATGCACCGCCCCTCCCCACCCCCCCAATAGCCCTGCCTGTCACCCCACAGGTCAACCCTGATCGCTGGCCAGGCCTAGGGACCCTAACCCACGCATGAGTTTCGTGCACTGGGCCTCTAGTTTAACAATAAGACTTAAATGGGAACATAGGTCAGACAGTGGGAGAGACATTGAGGAAGACACTCCTTTTATTTATATTTTATTTTAAATTGATTTAAGAGAGAAGAAGGAAGAGGCAAAGGAAAAAATGTGGAGATTATACTTCTAGAACCTAGTTTTACTGCCTTTTAAAATGGCAAAAAGAGCCAAAGCCGGTTTGGCTCGGTGGTGGAGCGTCGGTCTGCGGACTGAAAAGTCCCAGGTTCGATTCCGGCCAGGGGCATGTACGTTGGTTGCGGGCACATCCCCGGTAGGGGGTGCGCAAGAGGCAGCTGGTCGATGTTTCTCTCTCATCGATGTTTCTAGCTCTCTATCTCTCTCCTTCCTCTCTGTAAAAAATCAATAATATATATATATATATATATATATATTAAAAAATAATAAAACAAATAAAATAAAATAAAATGGCAAAAAGATATTGCCTAAAAGCCACCTTTTGAGGGATAAGGAATGAGTGATATGAAATACAGGTAGGCATGTGCTGTGGCAGGGGCACCTTTGTTAGGTATCATGGTAATTGGGGTGTCGTTTGTTACAGGTTTGGGGAGATTTTGTCTTGTGATTGCTTTAGCTAACAGTTCATCTTATTGAACGTGGACTATCTGAACCATACCGAACAGATGATAACATGTCAGGAGCTAAGCCAGAGTCAATGTTTGCTTTTCTCTTAAAATATTCCTGCGGTAAGCTGTGCACAGACTGCCAGCTTTCACTGGAAAATAACTCAGAGTCCCAGAATCACTGTGCTCTGCAGATTTACTGCATCCTCCGGTGCCCTCACAGACGCAGATAAATGCTGGGCTAGAAATTCCGCCGGTGAAGCAGATCAAACGATAACTTCTCACACAGATTTACCTTCCCAGTGGGATGGCAACGTGGTGTGGGGCCAGGCTTGCCTGTGAAAAATTTTGCCACAAGATGGGGTTCTTGCCATCAGGATTCCCTCTAGATTCTTGATTGTTGGTAAATTAGGTTATAGAAATCATGACACTTTCATTAAAGAATTAAGAAAAATTGACAGCTGTGATACTGAGGAGTAGTCAAGACTAGTGAAATTTTGAGTAAAAAATTCAGGACTCTGTTTTGGGCCCTTGGGTGTGTGGGCAGTAGATTGTTGAGACGATTCAGATGGACAGACGAGACCAAAAGGACGTCTCTGAAAGCCAGTGGCACCCGCCGCTGTCCCCACGGAACGCTGGCGGGTCAGAGCGCGCGCTGCCTCTGTGTTATACGTGTCTCCTTGTCAACGGAGCTAACCAAACACAGCGTCAGAAACTGCATTTCTGGGTTAGCGAGCTATTTTATAACAAGCATGAACTCCCACTCCATTTTTGCATTTTATCTCTGATTATTGTTGTTTCACCACTGTTTTTACTCAGATTTATTTTTATTCCTCTTGTTTGGCTCTCGCTTTTCTTCACAAAGAAAGGAAGTAAAGAAGGAAGGAAGAAAGGAAGGAAGGAAGGAAGGAAGGAAGGAAGGAAGGAAGGAAGGAAGGAAGGAAGGAAGGAAGGAAAGGAAAAAATTGGATGTTCTCATTTTGTTGACTATAACTTCATCCCCACTCACTGCTCTTCCCGCTGGGATTTCTCCACTACCATTGCATCCATCTCTTTCCGATGGGTTAGGTTTCTCTGCTGCTCTCTCAGTCCCTGCCTTGGCTTCATTGCACACACTCTGTTCTGAGCTCTGCAGTCTGTTTGCTGCTGAGTTTCTAATTTCATTGACTATACTTTCTATTTCTGAAGTTTCTTTTGATTCTTTTTCAAACCTGCCTATTCTTTTTTAAACTTATTTTTTCATTATCTTATCAATCCTTGTAATTATATTTATCTCTAATTAGTTTCTTTAAAAATTTTTTTTCTTGAGTTCTTTTTTCTTAAAAATCTATTTTTATTGATTTGAGAGGAAGGGAGAGGGAGAGGGAGAGAATCATTGATTGGCTGCCCCTTGCACTCACCCTACTGGAGATCGAGCCCACAACCCAGCCATGTGCCCTTGGCCAGAATGGAACCTGGGACCCTTCAGTCTGCAGGCCAAGCTCTATCCACTGAGCCAAACCAGTTAGGACTCTTGTTCTTAAGATGCTAATTTTTCTGTTAGCTGTGTCTACTGACTGCCCCGCCTCCCATGATGGTTTGCTTCCCCGTGGGGTGCTTAGCCTGTGACATCTTCAGGGAGGATGGCTTCCATGCCCCAGGGTGTGGGTGGGTTTCTGGGCCAGCTCCCCAGTGATTTCTGTTTTCTCACCTTGTGACAGTGAAACCCACTGTGACACTGTGCCTGGGTGTTCTGTCCTCCACAGGGAAGGTCCGTGTGCCCCTGAGTCCCGCTGACCCCCCCTCCATTGCTTTGGGTGCCCGCTCACAAGGCCCCATTCCTGTCCCTCCTCCCAGCCCCTAGCGCTTAACATTTCAGTCTGTGAGCTCCGTTCTTTGTTCCTTTATGGACACTTCTCATTCTCTTAAGGTGGGCTCTGCATTACAACAGAAAAGTATATCTTACCAGCTGAATAGTGGAAGGAGGTATCATTTTAGTCTGTCGTCTTACATAAATACATGTGTGTACACATTTATTTGCTATGGGTATATTTATAAGAGATGTGATTACCCTAAGTCAGTTCCTCTTGATTTCCCTCTTACCTACCCTCCCTTTCATCAGATCTTAAATCTACAAAGGAATTTATTTGGATGCCTCTTTTCCTGGCCCAAATACAGATTTAGAAACAAAATGAGAAATTAAGAAGAATTTTTCGGCATCCATGCTGCCGAGTCATCGGCTTCTAAACAAAATGCAGATCTCTCTCTCTGGCTCTATTGCACGAAGCAGTGGCGCCATGGATCGGGATTTGGGGGAGGAACTGTCAGAGCAGGATGTTAAGGTTCAAACTTGAGCCCCTGAAGTAAGGTTCTGGTGTTGCTGTGACATATACTTGGCAAAACCCAGAATTCTGAAACAAGGACTGACTTTTTCTCTCCCCTCCTATCCTTCCCCCAATCCTCCAATAAAACAAAAACAGGCACCAGCCGAAACCGGTTTGGCTCAGTGGATAGAGGGTCAGCCTGCAGACTGAAAGTTCCCAAGTTCGATTCCAGTCAAGGGCATGTACCTTGGTTGCGGGCACATCCCCAGTAGGGGGTGTGCAAGAGGTAGCTGATCGATGTTTCTCTGTCATCGATGTTTCTAACTATCCCTGTCCCTCTGTAAAAAATCAATAAAATATATTTAAAACAAAAAAAAAAACAGGCACCGAAGGAGGCAATATTGAGAATTCTCTGTTTATACCATTTAACTGCCTTACTAAAAGGACATTTGGAGCCAAATGGACATTTGGAGCCAAATCGGATGGGAATGAGGAAACATATTGAGGCAAAACTCACGGAAGTCATATTTCACGTTGTTGGAGAGGAAGCTGCATACGAACAGAGATGAGTGGGAAGGATTAATAGGGAACAATTCTGGGAGTGGATGCTCCTTGGCTGTTGGGAGGGGCAGAGTGGGGGCAGGAATAACAGGAGGTGGACGATGGCCCGTTTGCCCTGCAGACATGCATCAGGCCCCTTGTGTGAAATCACTCATTTCCTGCTTCTACCCCTCACGTCCGATAATGTGTTCTCCCTCACTTTTAACAGCACAGTAAATCCTGTTTTCTGCTGACATTTCTCCAGAGACAAAATGCACCTTTCAATGGAAGGAGACAGTCTGTTCAGGACCTTCATTACTTTAAAACAATAAAACATATTCGCCAGATTTATTACGTGAGTGCTTCCTCCCCCAGTCGGAACGGGAATCCTGGGTTCAGTGCCAGCTGAGTTTGCGCTCAGAGAAATGCAGCTCCTGTTTCATTTCGGTGGTTTTCAGACTTCCTTTGGCTGA